AATGTTCTCAAAGCAAAGTTTAACCTAGAGAAGCCAATAATGTGGTTTCTAGCATCAGATCGCGCTGAAATTAAATCCGATTGGAAAAAAMGACATCCAAACAAAGTAATAACCCAGGGTTTTATACCTAAGCACTCTGAAAAACATGCGRGCAAAGTGACACTGACCAACAGTCTTACTGACATTTTCCTTTTGAGTGAGAGTGACTTCATGATAGGGACCCGTGACAGTACATACAGTAATGTGGCTATTGGTGTAGGGGGGTTCCCAGCAGATAGCTGGGTGTATGGCGAGTATTGCAATGAAATTAATAACAAAACATTAAAACCATTAATCCAGATCAAAAAGAGAAATGCTTCATCACCAAACAATATCTAGCATTGTTGGAAGGACGAGGATTCTTGTCCGGGATTTGACACAAACCAACAAGTGGGTGGGGAATGGCTGTGAACTTCATCCAACACGTTTGGACCATCATTCAACAACGTCCAACACTATCTAAATTCCAAGCTTAACTACAAACACTAAAACTATAAAAAAAATCCTTTCGAATTCTTGCCTAAAAAAACGTTTTGTTCAAGGCATTTAGTTAAAGAGGAGGATTTCAACAAAACTCTTGCTGGGAAGTTATGCCTAAAACATTGGAGAATTGCCTTCTGGCGTACAACGCCACAAAAGTACAAGGTGCCAGAACAAACAAAGAACAGTCTAACTCAAAAGCTTTCCACATTGCACTTCACAAARCGCAGTAGAAGAATTTTCTGGCTTTTAAGATACTTCCGCGAATTTTTCTTTCAAAAACTTTCACATATGGGACGGGGCGTAGTCCATTTGAATCAACTGGGCATGGTAAATCGAACGTGAGAAGTATGTGCTATCCTTGGTAATGCACAGTCATATGTAATTTCTGCATAGTTTTCTAGGTGGAAATTACAAAAATAATACTAAACCTTTGTACTACTGATCGATTTAATATCTACAGCCCAAACTAGATTACTTTAATTACTATATACACAGATATGTTTTATTCATAAAATAGAATAGATAGAWTAGAATAGAATATTTTATGTTAAGAGAATCTAGAGGAGATCACCTATGGTGTTCTTCTCCTTAATTGTAAATGTATAATGTAACTAAGTGTAATATGTCTGTAATTTATGGTGTTTGTAAAATATTTATTAAAATATATTAATAAAAAAAAAGATATGTTTTATTCAGATTTACAAATACTTTACTAGAAAATATGATTCATGATAAATGAATCGAGTAATATTTTAATAGAAAAGCAAAGAACTAGCTATATATTTTAATGTAAGTTTGTGTTCAAATGTTTTAGAGATAAAAAACTTGGCAAGTGAAATGCAAAATGCTTTGCATGAAACAAGTAGAAATTTTGCTGATCAACATTTTAAAAAGTATTAGTACTTGCATCAGCACCATTTCTAAATTTGACTTTTGTCTTCAGTAATTAGGTTTGCATGTGTTGCATAATTTTACACAAATCGGTGGGTGGATARTACTGTGTCTATCTATATTCACAATTTTGTAACTAGTAATTTTCCTTAGCCAATATGAGTCAAATCAAATTTCCATGCATGTGTTTTGTCAGGAGCTGTCATAACACTATACTCACATTATTTTTGTGGATAACTGTTTGATCTTTCAAAGGAGAATCAATATTGAAAGAGTGTCTTTTGATACTGATTTCCGGGGAACGATAAGAGATGATCTACTAGTGTTTTCTGCATTTGAACATGCATCACATATGCTGTAGGTGGCTTTTAGACCACAACGCAAGATTATAATAATGAGTCATGTTAGGTTTATATATTTCTGTACATGTCATGTCTACAGTATTTTTGATATAGCTTCAGTTTGAATTCATGAAACTTTATATTTAAAGTCACACAGGGTGCTCCAGTTATGGCCATTTGCCCTTGCACCTGTGCATAATATGCATGATTAGTTTTTAGGCTGTTTCTTGGTGTTGCAAGGCACCAAACTCACTATTCTTTGATTGTATTTTTCCTCCTAGACAAATTTTCTCTCTGGTGCTGAATATGTTATTATGATTCTATATCACAAAGTACAGGGATTTATTGCTTTCCTTGATTCTTTGCATGGTGTACATGATATAATGTATCTACCTCTACAACAACCACTGGGACAGTGGGTCACTGGGACATGTTACATACATCATGCAAGCAATCAAGTGTCCCGGGTCAGTGGGTCAGTGTCCCAGTGTCCCAGTGAACCACTGTCCCAGTGGTTCTTGTAGAAGTAGATACATGTAATATGCATCATGCAAGCAATCAAGTGTCTCGGGTCAGTGCGTCAGTGTCCCGGGTCAGTGCGTCAGTGTCCCGGGTCAGTTGGTTAGTGTCCCAGGTCAGTGTCCCAGTGTCCCAGTGACCCACTTTCCCAGTTTGCAAGCAATCAAGTGTCCCGGGTTGGTGGGCCAGTGTCCCGGGTCAGTTGGTTAGTGTCCCAGTGTCCCAGTGACCCACTGTCCCAGTGTTTGGTGTAGAAGTAGATACATGCAATATACATCATGCAAGCAATCAAGTGTCCCGGGTTGGTGGGCCAGTGTCCTGGGTCAGTTGGTCAGTGTCCCAGTGTCCCAGTGACCGACTGTCCCAGTGTTTGGTGTAGAAGTAGATACATGTAATATACATCATGCAAGCAATCAAGTGTCCCGGGTCAGTGGGTTAGTGTCCCAGTGTCCCAGTGACCCACTGTCCCAGTGGTTGTTGTAGAGGTAGATGCATTATATCATGTACACCATGCAAAGAATCAAGGAAAGCAAAAACCCCCTGCACTTTGTGATATAGAATCATGATAACTTATTCAGCACCAGAGAAAATTTGTCTAGGAGGAAAAATACAATCAAAGAATAGTGAGTTTCACTGGAAAAAATCGCCCGCTTTGAAGGTTGTAAATTTGATGTAAATGTGATGTAAGTGTCCACAATTCTGTAAATTTGATGTAAATGATTTACATTAAGTTTACAGAATTTTGGACACTTACATCATATTTACATCAAATTTACAACCTTTAAAGCGTGCGATTTTTTCCAGTGTTTGGTGCCTTGCAACACCAAGAAACAGCCAGATTTTAGTTTACTTTATGTTATTACTTGTATTTTCCATGAAAAATTTGGATCTGAACAGGGGCAGGATTCAGTGGTGTGACATTTGCCTTAGTTCATGTACATTTCATCTCTACCTAAATACATCTGCACAGCCAGGATCAATAATCTTCCCATCAGGAGAAGCTCAAAGTATAATATATTCATGTGAAATAACAAACCCTGAAGGAATAACAGTTCCTGGCATTTACTTCAACTTCATAAATGTTTTGATATTCCATTATGGTTTGAGCAAAGGTATTGCGAATTCTTTTATGCTTCCT